CCAGCCAGGGCTTTGTCAAGCCTGATTTAGTTGGGGATTGGTCTTGCTTTGAGCAGGGGGTTGGACTAGATGACCTCCTGAGATCCCTTCCAACCCTGATATTCTATGATTCCATGATCTTTTACATGTTTTATTACTCGATTTTTAATTATCATTTTGATCTATTTATCAGCTCCAGATGTAACGTTTGTCTTTAGTTTCTTAGATCATCCCTACAGCCTATTTACAGGTAGAGCTGGTAACACTGTCTTTAAGTTAAGGTTGCCCAACACTTCCCATTATAAGACCCTTTTCAACTGCTTATAACTTTGCCATACTTAAACCATTACAACTAAAATTTTCCATTCCAGGCATCTGCCTCAGGCTAATTTTGGGGGGCAAGGTTAGCGGAAAATGATTCAACTGTTTCTGAGGATGAGATCAGGGAAAAGTAAGTTATTTTTCCCCATGTTAAAAGAAATTCTTACAGCCATTTCTCTGATAAACTCCAGCACATCCATGCTTTGGAGCCAGGACTTGAAATTTGACATGGGGATCACTCTGGTGCAAAACATGCCTTTTGCTATTCCCGTGAAAAAAAATGCTCAAATTTGGCCAAGTTATAAACTCTTGAAAAATCTCAGTTTGCACATACACAGATGACATTTGTTAGAGTGTGATAAGTAGTTCATGATCATGTAATTAAAGACTATGATAATGCATGTGCAGAAAGGGACCCTATTAAGGTTGCACAGGAAGCTATTTTTGCTAGCAGCTCAGCCACTTCATTTTTAAGCTCTAGAGAACTCTTGGGTGAATAACTTTCTGGACCTGGTGATGTATTACTTCTTAGTTTATGAATCTGCTACAAGATTCTCTTACTCTGGCAGCTCAATATCATTGACTCATAGTCTTTAAGGTCAGAAGGAACAATCATGATCATCTAGTCTGACCTCCTGCACATTGCAGGCTACGGAACCTCATCCACCCATTCATGTAAGACTCTGGCTGAGTTACTGAAGCTGATAGTACCTCATCTTTGCTAAAGGGCAGGCTAAAAGGCAGATTTTCTTGGTGTAAACTGTGATAGCTCTATTGATTTCAGTTGATCTGTAACAATTTACACCAAGAATCTGCCTTTAGGTATCTCCCTTATTGTGAAGACTAATGCAAAGAAATCATTTAGCTTCTTAGTAATGTCCCTATCTTCCTTAATTGTTCCTTTTAATTCTTGGTGATACAGCAGATGCCTTCACAGGCTTTCCAGATTCTGATATACTTAAAAGAATTTCTTGTTTGATTTTAGATCTTCACTTATTTCCTCTTTGGATTCCATCATAGCCATCTTAATTTTTCTTACATATTACCTTCTGGAGTATAGACTCCTTTTAATGGCTTTAGTTGGGTTAGATTTCCAAATTCTGAAGGGTATTTTTTTGGTTCAAATACTCTCTTGAAACTTGATATTTAGGTTTACTTCTTGCGTTCCTGCTTCCCTTTTTGTTCAGAGGTACACAGGACTTATGAAACTCTACTACAAAACCCTGCTCTATAAAACACATTATAATAATAATACTGGTCCATTACTAGACAGAAAAGGTAGAATTGTCAATATTAACACAAAAAAGGTGAAGTGTTCAATAAATATTTCTGTTCTGTATTTTGGAAAAAGACAGATGATGTACTTTGGAGCACAGCACTTGAGCTCAAAAAGATCTTGACAAACTGGAGAAATGGTCTGAAAAACAGGATGAAATTCCATAAGGACAAATGCAAAGTACTATATTTAGGAATGAAAAATCAGCTGCACAAATACAAAGTGGGAAATGACTGCCTAGGAAGGAGTACTGCTGAAAAGGATCTGGGGTCATAGTGGATCACAAACTAAATATGGGTCAACAATATAATATTGCAAAAAAAAAAAATCATTTTGAGATGTATTAGCAGAAATGTTGTAAGCAAGAAACGAGAAGTAATTCTTCCACTCTACTCAGCAGTGATAAGGCCTCAACTGGATTACTGTGTCCAGTTCTGGGTACCATACGTTTCAAGGAAGATGCGCACAAATTGGAGGAAGTCCAGAGGAGAGCAACAAAAATGGTCTAGAAAACATGATCTATGAGGAAAGACTAAAAAAATTGGGTTTGTTTAGTCTGAAGAAAAGACGACTGAAAGGGGCGACAATATGAGTCTTAAGTATACAGAAGATTGTTATAAAGAGGAGAGTGATAAACTATTTTCGTTAACCACTAGGGACAGGACAAGAAGCAACGGGCTTAAATTGCAGCAAGGGAGATTTAGGTTAGACATTAAGAAAACTTCCAGTGATTAACTACCCTTACAGTTAGGAACAAATTACCGATGTAGGTTCTTAAGAACAGGTTAGACAAACACCTGCCTGGGATGATCTAGATAATACTTAGTCCTGTCTCAGTGCAGGGGTCTGGACTAGATCACCTATCAATGTCCATTCCAGTTCTATATTTCTATGATTCTATATATTCATATCATGATGATGAAATACTTTCCATTCCAACACTAAATCAGGAGGATGTTAAACAGCAGCTACGAAAGTTAAACCTTTTTAAATCAATAGATCCGGATAACTTGCATCTGAGAGTTTAGAAGAGCTGGCCTAGGGGCTCTCTGGACTGTTAATGTTGATTTTAAATAAGTCTTGGAACACTTAAAGACTGCAGAAAAACTACCATTATGCCAATACACCTCTACCTCGATATAACGCTGTCCTCGGGAGCCAAAAAATCTTACCGCTTTATAGGTGAAACCGCGTTATATCGAACTTGCTTTGATCCACCGGAGTGCAAAGCCCCGCCCCCCCCCAGAGTGCTGCTTTACTGCAATATATCCAAATTCGTGTTATATCGGGTCGCGTTATATCGGGGTAAAGGTGTATTTAACAAGTGTAAACAAGGCAACCCAGATAACCATAAGCCTGTCAGTCTGACATCGATTCTAGGGAAAATAACATAATAGCTAATACAGGTCTATTAATGAAGAATTAAAGGAGGGTAAGATAATTATGGGTTTACGGAAAGCATGGGTTTGTGGAAATTAGATCCTGTCAAACTAAGTTGGTATCTTTTTGATTAGGTTACAGATTTGGTTGATAAAGTTAATAGCATTGATGTAATAGACTTCTGTAAGGTATGCAACTTGCCACTGCACAACATACTGATTAAAGAACTAACGCAATACAAAATCAATATGGAACACATGAAAAGGATTAAAAACTGGCTAACTGTTAAGTTTCAAAACAAAACTGTAAATGGGGAATCATCATTGAGCAGGTGTGCTTCTAGTGTGGTTCCAGAAGGATCAGTTCATGGCTCTACGCTATTTACCATTTTTGTCAATGACCTGGAACAAAATCATCATTGATAAGGTTTTCAGATGACTCAAAATGGGGTAGTGATAAATAACAAAAAAGGACAGGTCACTGATACAGTGTGATCTGGATCAATTGTTAAGCTTGGTGTAAGCAAACAATGTGTGTTTCAATACACCAAACAAAGCTATACATCAAGGAAAAAAGAATGTAGGCTTTACTCACAAGATGGACTTTATCCTGGAAAGCTGTGACTCTGAAAAAGGCTTGGGGCCATGGTGAATAATAAGCTGAATATGAGCTCCCAGTGTGATCTCATGGCCAAAAAGGCTAATGCAATCCTTGGATGTACAAACAGGGGAATCAACAAATAGAGCAGAAGCAGAGAGGTTATATTACCTCTGTATTTGGCACAGGTGCAACTGCTACTGGAATACTTAATGTCCAGTTTTGGTGTCAATTCAAGAAGAATGTTGATAAACTGCAGAGTTCCAAGAAAAGCCACAAGAGTGCTTAAAGGATTGGAAAACATGCATTATAGTGAGACTCAAGGAGCTCAAGCTATGTAGTTTCTTAAAGAGAAGGTTATGGAGGTAACTAGATCACATTCCAAGTTCCTAAATGGAGGAAAAGAATTTGGATTTCTGAGGACTCTTCAACCTAACAGTCAAAGCTATAACAAGTTCCAATAGCTGGACGTTGAAGCTAGACTAATTTAGACTAGAAATAATATGGAAATTTTTAACCGTGTGGGTAATTAGCCATTGACACAACTTATTGCTTGATGTGGTCGATACTCCATCACTGGAAATCTTTAAATCAAGATTGGATGGTCATCAAAAAAAATATGCTCTATTCCAACAGGAATTTAGGGAAGTCAGACTAGATGATCACAATAGTGCCTTCTGGCCCTAGAATATATGAAGCTGTTGTTTTCTTAAGTAGCATCCATGCCAAATCTAAACTTTATTTCCTCTGCTTTTGATTTTAGGGCTATTTTGACTAGCTTATTGATACTACTGAAACCTCCCTTTCTAAAGTTTAGTGTCATTGTGTTAGTTTTTGATACCTTTCCTCCCCTGTAGGATGTTGATTATAGTGTGGTCACTTGCGTCTATGTTGAGAATAGCATCTACTACTATGTGCTCTAGAAGGCTGTTTCAAGAAGCATTCATTTAAAAATTTAACGAAATTTCTTCTCGGCTCATTGTGATATTTGACCAGGTTATATGTGAATAGCTGAAGTCTCATTTTTTTTTGTTGTTGTTAAACTTTGCTGCTTGTGTGAACTCTCTCAACATTGTGCACTCAGTATTCTTTTCTTGATCCAGAGGTATATTTGTACTCTTGCAGCTTGGGATTTGAATCCATATGTATCCAACTGCAATGCTCTCCAATCAGGATATTTATCCCACTAGATCCTATGGAAACTTTTTAGATACACCACCAACCACGCTTCACCTAATCTGTCCTTTCTGTATAGTTTATAGCCAGGTATTACATTATTCCACCATGTTCAGTAATACCTTTTATATCAATGATTTTTTCCTCTGCCACGCATTCTCAAATTTTTATATTTTTTAGTTTTGACTTTATGCCTATTTTTATTTAACTACGTTATCTGATATTTTGCACTACAATAAATATTTCTTTAGATTAAAGTTCCAAAACTTACCTCTTTTTCTTCTCGCTTCCTTGATTTCTTCACACATTTTATTAAATTCGGGATCCAGCTCAGCAGCAATTATGGCATGTGCCGTGTCCTTCAAGGTACAAGCTCTGTGTCTAATTATTTTATCTATAAAAAAAGTTAATATAAGACATTAGTTTTACTTATTTTTACACACATTCTTATATATCTGTGTGTGTTTTTACTATATTTTAATAATATATCTATTACAGTAACAATACATACCTTGAAATGGAAGAAAAAAACCCCAGTAAATCAAACAAATATAAGAAAAATGAAGACAGACCACCGTCACATTAGGTCTGAAAGCCGGTGCCTCTGTGGAGTACGTCGCACTCCAGTTTCCCTCCCCTCCCCCCCTTTTCTTTTTTTTTTAATTAGTAGTTAGCATATGGATCACACGAGTTTAAAAACAATTTAACTATTGGGCAATACAGAATTTTTCTAAGGTGGAAAACTGTTGCTTTGAGTTGATCACTGGTAGAGTTTCTCCAACGCCAACAAGTGGGCTTCCACCATCCTAAATAGATTAATTTATATCATAGTAGAAAGTGATGCCTAAAAATTTGTCAAGCTTGGTAGACAAAAGAAGAACCTATGCAACAAAGTGTTAAGTTCTATTTCCCGTGGTTTCCAAGCAGATATGCTATGGGATCACAAAGCCTGCATCACCAGGAACCCTCATCAGAGAATCAGAAGGGGGAAAAGTACCACTGAACAATTAGAAGTGGCCTTGCCTGCTTCAAGATAGTACAGAGTCCCTGAAATTAGGCCAGAGGATACTGTGGTATTCTTCCATGACATCGTTCACACAGGGCCTGCTGCCACCTCAATGAACTGATCTTCAGTGACAAACAAACCAGGAAATCAGTTTGCCGAGTGGGTTACTGAAGTGAGTATTACTGGTCTATTTAGTTTAAAACACTTAAAAATCACAAGGGACTATGGAAACCTCACTCTTATATGAAAAACCTGGAAAAGTCATTTATTCCTAAATCTGCTGTATAAAAAAAACTTCCAGAGTCTAGTGTCAATAGTATTAAGATTTTTAGTAGTCTTCTACATCACCCACCTACTTCTTTGCTTCAGATTATGGTTGCCTTTTTATTTGTAAAATAAACATCATACTGTAACAGACTCAAGGTTGTGCTTAACTGACTATTATGCTGATGATATTGATGTTTGCTTCTTTGGTGGCTTTATATTATGAACGTAACTGGCAGAAAGTAAGTCTGCAGAGTATTGCTGTGTATTCAGTTGGATCTGGGGGACATGGCACCAAGGAAACTTCACTGTCCAAATTGGAGCCACAAGTATTAAAAGTGAAAGAATATTTCTCAAGAGATTACTGGTTTCCACTAGTTTCAGATGTGGACAAGACAGTACTCCAACATTAGTTTGCTGGAAAATGAGCAGAGATTGTAACAGGAAAAGCTGCACTGGGGAGAAACAGCATTGTGGGATATGTTTGACTCAGCTAAATGCCGAACACCATTTTCTATCCAGTTATTTCTTTGTTTTTAGTACAAACTAGATTGCCAATAATCCATCTTGAATTACTTTTTCTGAATGGTATAATTATTTCAACAGCAAACATTAAATACTAATGGCTAAATTATATTATTGTGCAATTAACACATTTAATCCAACTTTAAGAATCACTACAGATAATCATTAGAAGAGCATAAGCGAGCAATTAAGGATACCATTATTTAGATCTTTTAAAGTAGTGATTTTTGTGGCAGAGAGAGAATTTGCTGAGTCAAAAGCCAAAGTAGAGAAAACTCATTAACCTGGTCTCTTAGGCACTATCTACACTTCTTTGGGAAGTCTCCCACCATTGCATTATCACCCTTACAGGAACAGCAACAATAAGACTGTTGCTAGTGTTGACAGGACACCTATTTTTTGTTTTTTATTTATTTTAATTTATTTTTTACCATCATGTCACCTAGGATTAGAGGAAAGTGACAAAAATCTCCTATACCCTGTCTATGCTGGTATTCCCTCCTGCTGCCACTATTGGTGCTTCACAGTTGATGAGTAATGGCAGGAGATTTCACCAAGTATAGTATATATGATGTGGATAAGATCATCACTGTATAGTAATAAGCTGAGAGTACTAGAAGGGCTGGTAGAATCAGTCAATAGTGGAAACTAACTTCTGCAGATAGGAAATTAGTACATTCTAAGTACTATTGCAATATAAACATAAAAATAGCTAACAATTTTCTAGAGAATGAAGCGGGTTGCTGGAGCTTGACCCAAAACAGGGTGTTAGATCTATACTTCTGCATGCCCCTAGAATCACTTCCTACAAAACAGTCCCAAGTGCATGACTTTGGGATGCAAAGGTAACAGAGACTGTATATTAAGGATGTATTCACTTTTTGGTAGGGAAGGAGATACAATTTTACATTGCTTTAACTACCTTTATCATTTTTTAAATTACTCATAGCTGCAGATAGATTTGAAGAGCAAGCCTGGAGGTTTTTGGCAAAGTATGGTTATAAAGTATTTTGCTTTATGCCCTGTTTAGTTCACACAACAGTATGTATGCATTCTTTGTTTTAAGTGGGAAAGAGACTAAAGATGATCTAACAGCAGCAGAGATGGTTCCAAAACAAAAAAACAACTTTGGCCCCAGATAAAAGCGTCTCCAAAATCCAGGGTTTTGGTTGGGGGCTCATCTCTAAGGCCTGGTCAACACTTGAAAGTTTCACTTTCAGTTTCATAACTATTTTGACTAGGGATGTGATAGTCTACCACAGTGGTCTCCAAAATGGGGTGCGCAAGAGGATCCTTGCGCGACAGGAGGAGCACTTTTTTTTGTTTTTTGCTTCGTCAGGCAGGAGTCCTAACGACTTTCCCCCCCCGACACACCCTTCGGTGCGGCAGGGGGTAGGTGCTCAAAATTTTTTTACTGATGGGGGTGCGCGATCAAAAAAGTTCGGAGATGACTGGTCTACCAGAATAGTTATACCAGTAAAAGCCTCAGTGACTATGCAGTTATGCTGTCATAAAGGTGACTTATACTGGCACAGCAAGTCATATATTCCACAGAGACCTGTAACAACTACAGAGAGGATACAAGAAAGGAAGGGTTGTTTACCTTATAGTAACTGTTCTTTGAGATGTTCTAAGCATGTAAATCCTGTGCATGGTGCTCTGGTTCCCCTTGCACAGTTTGGAAGGTCGGTAGTGTCCAACAAGGGTCACACATGTGTCCTTCATGCCCTCATGCTCCCTTCTGAGGGCATAAGGGTGAACCAAACCCACCCAGCACTCAGTTCCTTCACCACCCAGCATCTCAAAGAATCCCTGATCTGCGGGGATGTAGGGGTTCTGGGATCCACATACACAGACAGTAATGTGTGCAGTAAATACACTGACATTGCAGACAGGTGGTTACTACTGACAGGCATTTTGTAAAAACTCGAGGTGCAGCTTAGAGGCCAAATGGGAGGACTCTGAACTAATAGTGGTCATCCAGCATCAGAAAGCAGAGAAACTTCCTGTGCAATGGATGTATTGGCACATGAAAGTATGTGTGCTGCAAGTTGAGGGTACTGAACCAGTACATGTGATCTAAAGAGGGTATGGTGGATGCAAGAGTCACCAGGTGAAATTTGACACTGGTTATTTAAGTGCTGAGGAGCCTGAGATCTAGTATGGGTCACCAGCTCCTTTCTTCTTTAGTACAAGAAAGTAAGGGGAATAAAATCCTCTCTCTCTGAAGGCTAGCAGTTGAGGCTCTATCACACCCAGTTCCAATAGAGAATGTATTTCTTGGTGCATGAGACTCACATGAGATTATTTCCTGAAAAGGGATGGGGGAAGGTATGAAATTGGAGGGTATGTCCCTCTTGGATTAACTACAAGACCCAACAGTCTGATGTTATTGCAGTCCAGACATCCACAAAGAGAGGCAGGAACCAAAATAGAGGGAGTGGCAGGAGAGAGGGATACAGATCCACATTGTCCTGTGCAGTATACCCAACCAAAGCATCAAAATTATTGCTTCTGTGACTGAGATGGTTGGATAGTAGATGACAAGGCTGGTTCTCTCTTTTGGAACCTCTCTCTTTTTCTGAACTGGCTTGATTGTTTCTGATGGTTAAAAACATGAAGTAGTTGATTGGGATTTCTGCCTAGAAGAGAACTGGGATTTATAATACTTTCTTCTAAAATTTGGGAAGTAAAGGCCCAAAGATCTGACCATGGTCCAACAATCCTTGAAGGAATGCAATTTTGTGTCTGTCTTTGGACTGAACAAGTCCTTCCCATTAAATGTCAAGTCTTGCACTGTAGTCTGCACTTCCTTAGGGAGTCCTGACACAGACAAACCTGAATCCCTTCACTTGCAAATTCCATTAGCCAGCAATATAGCTCCCATGTCCATAGAGTCTAGAACTGCCTATAATGAGTGGTAGCAATGAATTGACCTTCTGCATAGATCAATTCAAACTCCTTCAGATCTGAAGGTAATTTGTTTGAGAAATCTGCCAAATAATTTGCAATTATGATCTGAAGAGATGCTGAAGAATAAACTTTTCAGCCAAAAAGATCTAACTTCTTTGGTTCTGTCTCCCTGGAGGTGGATTTGTGTACCGGCTTGGATTTTCCACTCACTGTGGTGATTACCAGGGATGACTGTGTACAGGATAAAAGGTTAAATTAGTTTAAAAAGAAAAAAATGTTTTCTGTAGGCCATGGCAGTCATGGGAAGGCCTTGCAAGGCAACGGCTTAATTGGAAAATCTGGATATAAAAGGTAACTGATAAGATAGAACAAAGAAAAGGTCCCAATTATCAGGAATAGTTAATAATAAGAAAGGATTTAACAGGCAGTGACACTAAACTGGCCAAACCTGGTTTTTAGCCAAGTTAGCAATAGGCAATGACTTCACTTGTTTATTAAAGTGTATAAAAGGGTAAACTCTTAAAGTGTTCATTGCTAATACCAGCCTAACCAAGTTAGGACTGACCATTGTGGGTCTAAACCCTTGAGGTTAGCCTGTTTGTAAGTATCTTGATTGAATGCTTATACATTTGATTTAATTGGAGATTGGTCCTACTTTGAGCAGAGGGTTGGACTAGATGACCTCC